ATTGCAAAAACCCAAAAAACGGTTCAAAAATGTCTTGAACTTTCAAGTACTTAAAGTACTCACATAATGTGTGCAACTAACTCAACCATCTTGAAAGCAAAATGACAACCAAAATGGCCTTCGCATCGATCATTTTTTCTATTCATTTTTTTTTACTTATCTAATAAGCTTATTTGGGTAACTTTTCAAATAAGCTCGTTGAAATTTTTATTTCAGCTAGCTTATCAGCTAATTTTACGAAATCAACTAGTTTTACCAAACATAGTCTTAGAGAATCTGGGGAAGAGATATTTCATCCAAAAACCAATTGCTGACGGGAGAGGTAGCCCAGTAGTCTTATAAACTAGGTTCATTTTTCCTATAGAATTAATGTGGGACAACTCACAAGTGATATTACAATTATAATTATTTTTTGTATTTTGTTTCAATGCAGCTAACTATATTGGCCTAAAAGAATACGTGCCTCCGTACTTGGATCCGAATCTAAGCATTGAAGAGCTCATGACCGGATTCAGTTTCGCATCAGGGTCTAGATACGACCCGCTAACACCAATAATAAGCGTAGGTTCTTTTTTTTTATTTTTTTTTTCTTACTATTAATCGATTATATGATGTCAATTTGTACTAATAAAGATAATTTTTTTTTCCTAATTACATTTTTTTTTCAGAGTGTGATCTCATGTTCCGAGCAATTGGAACATTTCAAAAGTTACCGGGCGAAGCTAGAGACAGCTATCGGGAAGAACAGGACAATGAGATAGTAAAAAATGCTCTGTTTCTAGTCAGTGCCGGGACTAATGACTTTGTCGTAAATTATTTTCCCGTGCCTATTAGGCGTAACAATTACACAATCTCAGAATACACAAGTTTCGTTCTACAAGAAGCTCGACAAGTTTTTCAGGTACCGACAGCTCATGATATTTTGTTGCCTATATGAAAAAACATTAATTTTAATGAAAAATGATGCTGGATCGATTTAATTTTTGCTATAGTACGAACAAACAGCAATGTACGTTACTATAAATGTGTTTGAACCGTGCAGGGATTAGTGGACCAAGGTGCCACGCGAATAGGAGTAGTGGGCCTTCCTCCGTTGGGCTGCTTGCCGATTGTAATAACACTATATTCCGAGGACCCAATTGCAAACCGAGATTGCATTGCAAATTTTTCATGGGTAGCACGAGATTATAATCACATGCTACAAAACGAATTGAAGGAAATGCAAAAACAGCTTCAACCTTCGGGATCTCGGATTGCTTACATGGACATATTTGGACCATTAGAGGAAATGACCTTAGGCAACAAATATGGTGAGTAGTCAATGCTTTAGGTCAATGTAAATATAATAATTATTTTTTTTTTTTTTTTTTCTTGGTGTGATTGTTTATTTTGCGATAATAACAGATTTTGAGGAGGTTAGAAAGGGATTTTGCGGGACAGGGCTGCTTGAAGCTTCGCATATGTGCAATTCAAATAGTGTCGTGTGTGAAGATGTGAACGAGTACGTGTTTTGGGATGCGATTCACCCGACTGAAAAAACATATTTTCTGCTGTTTCAAGAGTTTAGGCCTTTAATCGACAGCCTAGTTAAGGAATAAGGTACAATATTAGGTTGCTGCAGGTTCACAATTTTGGAGATTATTTGTTGGTGAAAAGCAATGGATAGCCATTATTTAATTACAGCCGTTATATATATATATTCATATATATATATATATATTTGCACTAAAAGACCGTGAGTTGTTTTACTACCGCAATTGCAATATCTGCCAATTAGAGTTTATGAAGGAATTGTCAATTAGAGTTTTAATTCTGACTATTACAGTCTATGAATTGGTATGAATAGCGTGAGTTGTTCCATTGGACAGTCATGAATTGTGCAGAAAAAAAAGGGGGTTTGTGCCTCGAATTGTTTTAATTCCCGCATCATGATTGTCAACTGTGTATTGATGACAATTGTTTGTGAAAGATTATGGGGGTTAATTATGAAACTCTCCATCATTAGGCGACTAATTACAGTTATTGTATGTCACTGATTCTGCACTTCGGTCTTGCAGGACTTTTAGTTCTATTATTATTTTATTTGATATTGACATATGTTACAGTTGATTATTTGTTGAAAGAGATTAATCAAATGTCAATAATCTCATAATTCAATAAAATATTTTTATGTAAACAAACTAGTTAGTCACCAAAGTGGCCTAGTTTAATTTATGGAATA